ACTTAGTCTAACAAATTTTTCCCTGTGCTATTCCTATTCACCTCATATAGCGTGCATGAATGAGAAAAGTGTAACTCCAGTGAGGCCCACAGGCCCACAATGCTTCAATAAAATGCACTTTATAGAATTTTAAAGTAAACTTACATTTTCAAAAGAAATATTCAGAAATGACATCTTGCCATCACTGAGAACACTGAAATTTTAAATGGTGAAAGTTGTTTTTCTGCATACCTTGTTTCATGACGATGGTGTCCACTCTTTTAAATCTTTGCTTCATATCTAGGTTTTTCTAGTTATTTGTTTCTTAGAAATAAAATTTCTCTTTTGGCTGCCTGTACATTTCCGTTAGTATACAAAGAGGAAGTTGTGTGAGAAGAGGGGGGAAAACATTTTTTATAAGCTGGTACAGTTTATTTCACAACACTTCCATTGTTATTTGGCAAGTCAAGGACACATACCCTGGAGCAACGATATTAAGACCCAGGCTTCCATGAGGAGGAAATGTGGACAATGGCGTGTCTCCTACAAGGATTCCAGAATGGACAGGCTGGGATTTTTGTTCAGAGATGAGCAAAGAAGAAATAAAAATAGACTCCCTCCCCTTTTCTTCTTTTTACCATTGTGGGACAGATTTTAATTTTTCAGTATGTGAGAAAAATATAAACTTTTTATTGGTCTGAAGCAATATGCTAAACTTTTTTTCAGTCTTAGCTTTTCCTGCTGGGTGACACAGCATCGCAGATTTAACAACCCACCAACTATCATGGAAGATGCTAGAACATGTATTATGTGTGTGTGCATTGTGCTACAACGTAGGGACAATTCCAGGTCCTTAGGTCTGTTATTATTGTGCCTTGGGACAGGTCAGAGCTGACATGACTTTCTAAAGTCTAGTTCACTCTATAGTCTACCCATACAGATCCTGCCCTTTTTCCTACTCCACCTCTCACCTCTGGTCCCTCTCTTGCCAATCCCACTTCATCCCCCTTCACTCTCCTTTTTATTAAATTACGGTCTCTCAGAACTAAAATGGCTGCTAAGGAGTCATCTAGTGCTTTTCTGAATGTCTTTTTGATCCTCTAAAAACCATCTTTCCATAGAAAACCTTACGTAAAAACCCCAAGACATAAAACTGATAGAAGGTACTCATTCTTGAAACTGTGATGGTCTCAGCGGTTTTTCTTGCTTCTGTTCATCCTTCGACAATAGCAGGCAGGCTAGCAACAATGGCACAAAAATATCCCGCCCCACTTGAAACAAGGAGGGAAAACACTTGATATTTCATAAGTTGACAAGTTGTGTTTCAGAATGCAGGCACAGAAGATTGTTCATGTCCTTGAGATGACAGTTCATTGTCTAAACCAAAAATAGCTATGGGAGATGGAACTAAGATATCCGACTCATGGTTAAATGGACAACATTCAGGAGTAAGTGGTGCTCAGTCTGTTGCAGTTCTGGATCCAAATTTGAGTGACACCATGATTTAGCAGAAAGCAACCAATCACACTCTACCAACTTGCATTTTCTATATTTGTTCTTCATTCCCATAAACACTGCCCAGAGCCCCATACTCTGGGGGACTGATTTGAAGACCTGGCCTCCAATCTCCTGCCTGGTGACCTCATATTAAACTGGTTCTTTTCTCTAAAGTTGGTGGCATGGATTTTGGCTTCTGTGCCATCGGGTAGCAAGCCCACGTTCTGCAACATTCTGAAGAAGGGAGGATGCCTTGCTTCCCCCACTCAACCAATGGAGAAACCACAACCCCAACACATTACCCACAAAGAGTCCCTGAGGGTCCCTTGCCAAAGCCCTAAGAATCCCCAGTCTAAGTTACCCCCTTATATGACAGATAGGGAAGCTGAGTCCCAGAGAGATCATAACTAGGTAATAGGCAGCACCGAGGCACCCTAAATCCCAATTCTGGAACCCTCTCATCGTTCTTTCCCTCTGTCCTTACCACATAGTTTCAAACACTTCTGGTCATGGGAATCCCCCTAAAATCTAGGGCTAAAATCATTCCCAGTGGTTTAAAAACTGCCTTTATTTGCCAGGGCAACATCCCAGCCCTCAGCACTGAAGACATTCTCACACTTTGTAGCTCTTCTCAGTGCAGGCCCTTGACCTTTCCTCGAGGACAGAGAAGAGAAGGAAAGGCAACAGGACATGCTCCAGAAATTACATGCGCTGTCGCCTGGCCCATCCTGGGCATTCCTAAGGCCATCTCAAAACTCCCACACCAAGAAAGTGGCTGAGGTCAGGGGGGGTAGAGTTCACCATTGTTCATGTGAACAAAACGGTTTATGCTCCAAGGTTGACTTCTGACATGACCTGCTGGTGCAAGGGGACAGGACAACTTGCTTTCCCTTCTGAGGGAGCAATTGAATGCTAAAGTGTCAGCTCCTTCTCCAGACAAGGCTGTGTTCCCACCTGACTCCTCCCTGCCACTGCACCACTGCCAGATCTCCAGTCAGATGAATAGTCATCCTGACTCTCTTTGCAATATAACAATATGGACATTTATAAAGCCTCCCTAGCTTTTCAAAGTCAATGCAATTAAAGCACAATGCATCTTAATTGCCAGGACCCTCCCCAGGGCAGAGCAAATGGCAGCCTTCCTAACTAAAACAAGTGCTGGCACCCAGCTGAAGCAGGGCGAAGATGCCAGGCTGGGGTTTCTGTCAAAGTGCCCCAGACAGAACAGTCCACATCTTAGGTGTCTGGTTTTCCATAGTGCTTTTTCCAGGCTACCTCAAACTACTTTTATAGCCATCATTTCCTCTCACAGTTTGTCTAGAGGCAAGGGAAATGATAATCCAATTTTTCCGGTGAAACAGATATCCAGCAATTCTGTATTGACGTGTATTAGAAGTCCAAAAGATGACCATGTTCTTTTAATGGTTGGCATCTCATTATCGTCCTAACAGTAGCAATAAGTGGTCAGTCAAAGCTGAAGAGTTCAAATCCTGGTTCTACCACTTATTAGCCATGATCTTGGGACATGACCTTGGACAACATACTAACCTCTGTTTGCTTCAATATCTTCATTTGTTAAGTGACTAATGGTGGTATCATGGTACATCCTTCAACTCCTTGACTAGGGAATAAATGAGTTATATATGCAAGACACTAAGAACAGTATAGCAAGTTCTCAATAAATTTGAGTTACTATTCACATAGTCCTTAAATTTACAAACTGCTTCCACAGATATTATCTCTTGGCTAGGCTCATTTGATGCTCCACCCAAGCCTTTGAAAGAAATTCAGAATATTGGGTGAGGTCCAGCATCCTTTACTGAACACATTCCAAGGGGCCTAGTGTACTAGGTATGGTTTTGCCAGCCGAGTGCTGTCTCTGCTCCATGCCCTGGAAAAGCACTCTGTCAGACTCCAGGATACTTCCTTTGCTCTTCCAGAGGCTCCCACCCAGGATGTGTGAACTTGCCCTCATCCTTTACACAACAAGAGACAGAATTATGCACATTGTTGTTTATGCCCCAGCAAGCTTTATCACCCCATTTCCATACAGCACTAGATGGACATTCCTTAGAAAACCAATTCTGGGCTAAGGAACTCAAGCTGTGTCACTTCCCTTGGTGAAAACTTCAGCTGCCTTTTAAAGCAATATCAAGAAGTCGCTCCATGTGTGCTGGTCACCATCCCTCCCCCACTGTCCAGGCTAGGAGAGGAGATGACATGCATGAAGAACCCAGCGTGCACAAGGCTAGGTTACTATGATGCACACAGATGAGGACATGCGCTCTGCAGGACGAGGAACTTGTCCAAGACACCACAGGGGACAAGAGTTCTGGCTATGCACTTCCGTCCTCAACCTCTCTGTGAATTTTCTCATCTGTAAAATTGGTATAATAATCATACACACCCTTATAAGGTCATTGTAAAAATTCAATGACAATTAATTTATTATGCTAAGCATAATGACTGACACATGCAAGAGCTCAAAGAATATTAGATTTTTTTACTTGTGGTTGTATTACCTGAAAAAGGAGCAGCTACAGTTGACTGCCTTGTCCACTATATCAGTTGGAGTCTCAGTCACCCATGGAGGGCAATTAAGTTTGTCTGGGAATGAAAGAGCTTTAACATCCCAAGTCAAGCTCATGGTGTGGGGGGGCTTGAGGGTGTGGCTGTGTCTAGGTCTTCCACCGACATTGAGGTGGTAGTACTTTTGTCCAGCCTATGATACGATTCACTTAATCACTTCTGAACAATGATACTCCAGTGTTTCTTTGAGTACTTTTATGGCAGGATGCTCAGTCCCTCCTGAGAAACAACCCATTCCATTTTGAACGCCTCTTAAAATTAGAAAGTTCTTTCTCTGTTCCTTCTCCCTCGGCCTCCTATCACTTCCCACTTCCTCTCGCTCCTTCCTCCTTTCATTTTCCCCTCCCTCTTCTTTCCGCCTGGCCCTCTTCCTCCTTTCCTTTCTCCTCCAAGGCCCGAGAGCTTGAGATGCCACCCTTTGCCTTCCAGTCACTGTCTCGGTCCAGGACCGCTCAGGCGGGCTTCATTGTACATGCCACCCCTCGGTAGGATCCTATGGCTTTTGCAAAGTCATTAGGGAGCAAAACCCTTTATCCAGGCATTATGCCTGATCTTTCTGGTTCGTGTCTCCCAGCTTGCCCGGTTTCCACTAATAACCAAATCCAGAGCCACACAAAACTTAAAATGGGTTGACCTGATGTCTTGAGGCCCAGCCGGCCCTATATGCATGCCAAGGAGTTGATTGGCACGCTAGGGATGGGAATGAGGAGCGAGGGCGGGGCCTCTCGGAGCCAATGCACCTTGGCAGCCCTGCAGCCCCTAGTCCTCTGCCCACCAGCACCGGGACCGCAGAGTGAGCGCCCAGCCTGGAGCTGCCTCCTGCGGGCTCGGACCGCGCTGCAGCTTTAAGAGAGGGGCGGGGCCCGCTGGTACAGGCAGGGCCGGGCCAGCCCACAAGGCTCCTTTTTCTTTTTTGATCCATTCAAAAATTACTCATTGCAAATTCCCGGACTGCTAGGAGAGCAGCAGGGGGGCGGAGGAGAGAGGGCTGCTGCGGGCGCGCAGGGGGCGCGCGGGGGCTCGAGGAGCTGCCGCCGGGTCGGGCTGGAGCAGCTCGCGGGCCGTTCGGGCTGGGGTGGCCTCACCAGGAAGCGTCAGAATCTCGACACCGGGGGAGCTCGGAGCGCCGCCTCCCGCCCGGCTCCGGTCCCGAGCCCCCTCCCCTCTCAGTCGGGCGCTCTCCTCGCTCCTGGACGCTCCTGCTCCGGCGCCCTCCCGGCGATGGCTGGCCGCTGAGGCATGGCTCAGCACGGCCACCCCAGCCCGCTCGGCATGGCTGCGAGAGAGGAGCTGTACAGCAAAGTCACCCCGCGGAGGAACCGCCAGCAGCGCCCCGGCACCATCAAGCACGGCTCGGCGCTGGACGTGCTGCTCTCCATGGGGTTCCCGAGAGCCCGCGCGTAAGTGGCGGGGCGCGCAGCCCTCGCGCCCCCTCCCGCCCCTCGCTGCCGGCCCTCGGCTTCGCTCCGGCTCGCCTCCCAGCGCCTGCCCGGCGGGCGGGCAGCGCGCTCCCCGGCTGCCCACGACCTGTTGGGGGCAGGATGGGCACCCCGGCTGCCCCGGGCGCGTCTCCTCCTGGAGAGGGTGCAGGGCCAGGCGCCGCGCGGGAACGCTGGGCTGGGGCTGGCTTGGGATGCCTAAGGTGAGGCATACCTGAGGGCGGGGAATGCCTACGGTCTGGAGCACGGGTTCGAGTCCCAGGCACGGTACCCGGCGTCCAGCCTCCTGGGTGGGGCTAAGCCGCGCTCCAGCCGGCTCGCGGAGGTCTCCAGAGCCGAGCCCCTGGGGAGGCGGGGCCCCACGGGGCATTCCGGCACCCCCAGGTCTGGATCGCTGGGCTGGCTTGGGATCCTCTCATGGCTGGGAAAGGGCAGGGGACAGCGGTGCTGGGAGGCCGACGCTCCCACTGCATCGGCTTCCAGCTCCGGATGTCGCTCTCCGGTTCTGTGTCCCTCCGGAGTAGGAGGAGCGGGAGCGTGGGTGTTGCTGCGTGTTCATTGATAGGGAGGATGGAATAATAAGGAGAAGCGATTCCTCCAGAGAGAATCTGGGTTCTCGTCAGTGGTGACGGCAGCGCAGAAATCTGTGGGTGCCTGAGAGTAAGGAGGGGGAGCTGTTCTCCCTCATCCATCTTCCCCTTGGAGGGTGGGGTTGGGTAGGGCAGCGGGAGCAGGAGTGCAGGTGGCTGCCCCTGCTGCCCGCCTGGAAGAGGCCTGGTCGCCAGCCTAGGCTGCAGAAGCAGCGGGAGCTTTCTGAAGCTGGTCAACCCAGACCTTGGGGGCTGGAACCTTGCCTAGGAGGAAGCCAAGGCCAAGGCCAAAGCCAAGGCCAGGCCCTTCTCCCTTAGGTAATTGCTGAAGAGCTCTTTGGTGGGGATGCAAGGCCGGGAGCCTACGAAGGGGGCACTGCTTTGAATTACTCAGCTGAACCTGAGACTTGGGCAAACTTTATCAGGAAGGGCCAAGTTAATCAAAGTTTTTCCCTCCCTCTCTTTTCACGTGGTGAGTCCAGGTTTCCCTTCCACCACCTCTGAGCAAACCTTGCTACACTCTTTGCTAACTTGATTGTAACCTCTTCGTCAAACAGACCCATTTTATCATCCTGCCCAGCCTGCTGGGACAGGGTAAGTGGCCTTGGAAGGCCAGGAATAAACTGAGTTTCTACCCTGTGCTGCTACCCCCTTTCTTATGCCACAGCTACAGGGAGAGGAGGTGGTGGGTTGTGCTGGAGTGTGTCAGCGGCCGCTGACAACTAGGCAGGCACGTCTATGGATGACCCGTGGGCACTCTTCCCCTTAAGAAGGGAGTAGGGGCCTGGAAGTCTGCTGGGCCATATATTAGCAGAGCTCCCAGCATCTGTCTGTTCTGAAATGAGGCCAGCCTTAGGACCTAAATTGCTTAATTCAGGGAAGAAATACTTAACTGCACAGATTGTCATGTTAGCTATTCAACCATCATTAAAGGGACATCTTTTATCCTGTTCTAAGTGCAGGAGGCCTTGTCCTGACAGATTAGGATGGTCTCATTTCAGTTTGTGCATCCCCTGAGATCTCATAATAGCCAGCACTTCTTCAGTACTTACTACATCTTGTTCTAAGCACTTTGCCTTTATTATCCATTTGATCCTCCTGGCAACCCAGTGAGAAAAGGTAATGGTATGCCCATTTTGTGAATCAGATTTAGAGAGATGATATAACTTGCTAAGGCTCAAAACAGTAAACCGTGAATCTGGGTTTCAAACCCAGGGAGTGTTCTTCCTCAACCCCAGCCTCACATCTAGCACTGGGATGTCCTGAGTTCGAAAGTAAAATGCTTAGTGCAATGCCTAGCACACCATGAGCAATCCTTCAGTGTTCCTCTCTGTGGATGCACTAACAATGACCACAAACTGGGTGACTTAAAACAACTGAAATGGACCCTCTCCCAGTTCTGGATGTCAGACGTCGATATCAGTGTCTCTGGACTGGAATCAACGTGTGAGCAGGGCCGTGATCCCTCCAGATGTTCCAGGGGAGAATCCATTCCTTGCCTTTTCAGCTTCTCTCTGCTGCTAGCATTTTGAGGCAGGGGCCCCATCACTTTAATCTCCACTTCTGTGGTTGCATTGTCGCCTCTTCTGTCTGTGTCTAGTCTCTCTCTGTCTCTTTCTTATAAGGACACTTGTTATTACATTTAGGGTCTATCCAGATAATTCAAGATCAGCTTCCTATCTCAGAATCCTTAGCTTAATCACATCTCCATATCTCCTTTATTTTGTCAAAAGGGGATAGGCAACAGTTCCCAAAGATGCTCCCTAGGTGGGAGGGCAGTTGGATTTGCTGATCTGTCTCTTTCCAATCCTCTGCTGCAGAGAGGATGGAGCTCTTGGTGGTCTCCTGGTCTGCTCTCAAGCCAGGTTCTCATCTCTTCTACTTCAACACAGAAGGGCTGACGCTGGTCAGCCTTCCACTTAACGATGACTCAGGCCATAAGAAGAGGGACTTCTGCATGGGCCATCTCAGAGTCTAGAGAGTCATTGAACTTCCTTTTGGAGAGCTGAGAAGGAAGCGAACAAGGTCATCAGGTGTAGCCTCTAAGGGCTTAGGTCTAGAGGGAGGAGCGCGATGGAATTCAGAAGGGGGGAAAACTGGAGTGGTTTTCTGGGTCCAGCAAGACTTGGCTGTGATGCCTCATAAAGGGACATCTGTCATGTGGCTGTTTGGAGAGCTGGCGGCAGCCAAGGCTGACACCTCTGGGTGTAATTTGGTCTGGTATTCTGCAGCAGCAAGACGGGACCTTCACTGGGCACTGGGCGGCCTGGAAGAGAGCTCTGAGACCAGTAATATTTGGATCCCACCCCATCCTGTGCCATACCTACGTCTTGGATAAATTGCTCAGCCCCTCAGAGCCTCCCAGTCTCCCTCTGAGGGAGCTGGATTAATTAGTGCTGGTTTGTTAAGTGCTTGACAGAGCTATCAAAGAGCAGTGCTGAGCAAGCAGAGTGACCTCAGAGTATGTTCTCTCTAGCTCATTGCTCCCTAGAGCTGTGCTGGAGTTTTTCCATCCTGTCATATGAAATGGGGTCCAACTTGGACAATGCTGCAGAGAAACCTGCTGCATGGAAGAGGATGGAGAAGTGGTGATTTTTATGATGTGTGTATGTGTGCATGTGCACACATGCATGTGCAAACACAAGGTAAGGGGTAAAGAAGTATTAATTAGGGAGACCTCAGGAAGCAAATTTTCACGCCACCAAAATGGCCTATCCTTGCCTTTTTTCTTTCTATGCCCATCAGCTCATCACTGTTCCAGAAGTTTTAAAAATAAAGGTCCAGCTTCTTCAAAACTGGAGAGAGGGTGGGGGAAGCAAACGAAAATGTGTGTTTGCCAGGCAGAGGTGTCAGGTGGGGGAGGCAGGGGCCAGGACAGGGGCTGACATATGTCCCCAGAGAAGGCAGGACAAGACCTGTGCTTTGCGCAACCCTACTTGATTTCTTAGCCCTTACCTCCCCACCCCCCAACCCCCTGTGGTTTCTGAGAAGGGAGGCTCTTATCTCTTCTGTAGCTGGAGGCCAACTGAACAATTGAATTTGAGGCATCCTTCCCCATATAACTCTGTCCTTTTGTCTTGTTTTGGTTGAGTTTGTTTAAGACTGCCTGTGGCTAGAACTCCTACAAAAGGCTTTCCAATGTTTGGTTAAGACAGAGAGCTATAATCTGGTAAGAGGACTGGCATTGGGTGTCCCGAATGCCAGCCTAGCTTCTGACTGATACTTTTGAAGTCTGTACTTCAAGTCTCCTCTTGCAACCCTATTCCTCCATATCCTGGTAGATTCTGTGTGTGGCAATACCTGTTTGCTATTACTCGTAAGACCATGTGAAGACAAAGGGAGATAATGGGCAGGAAAGGACTTGGAAAAGTTATACCTATAACATAGACAAAAGACATATTGTTACGGCATCATTGTATTGAATTGGAAGAAAAGGGAGATGGTGGTTGAGACTGATTGCAGGGATTTACATGGGCTCTTACGTTGTCCTTTTTTTCTGTGACTATTTGAACAGTACCTATTTAAAGAGCAGGGCAGCAGCAGAGAGGGAAGAGTTGGAATAAATTCCTTCGATTTTTGCTTTGGACAGTAAGCTGTGTTAGCTATGCCTCACTGCCCAAAGATAAAGGCAGCTCAAAACTGTCCTCACAAGGAGTTGAGAGGCATCTTGCAGAGCCCAGAATTTAAAGTATCTGTTACAGGGCAACCCCAGTGTGAAATGTGTTGGCCAGTTCCTCTGGCCATTACCTGGGTATTGACCTTGGAACCTCTGAAAGCACATGGTCCACCCAGCATCTGGATTCTGGCTGACTCTGGATTGTGGGAGCTGCAGCTGCTTTCTTAGGAATCTTGAGTAGAAAGAGAAGACAAACTGGGGCCACTTGGAGCTGAAGGCAGTTTCAGGCAAGAAAGTTTCTCATGTACTCATCAGTACTCTCTCTGCACCCATGAGACATTCTCTTGCACTTGTGTGTCATTTTGCAGTTTAAAAATTGCCCTCACGTGATGTTGCACAGGTGCATTGGTGAAGGAAACTCTATGGGGACTACACCTGAGGGGGTGGGGTGAAGCAAATATTGTTTAAAAATGAACAATGATGTAAAAAATATATAAAAATAAACAAAATATTCTGATATTTTAAAAAAATAAAATAAATAAAAATTGTCCTCACGTGCACTAAATACCCCTTTTGATCGGCGCAGCAGTCCTGTGAAGCAAACTACATGATGAAGACCTGGCTTTCAAATTGAGGAGACTTGAAACTCAAGGCACTCAGGAACCTGCCCTTTGTGGGGTCGTGATAGCTTCGGGCTAGAACTTCAGGTCCAGTGAGCTACACCGAGGCCTTGGTTTCAAAAGAACTGACATGCT